GATGGAGAGTTACCCAACGTCTCTCCTCCACCTCACACCTATGGTATTCAAGTGACTAAAGGTGCCTTTGGCGGCAGTGGCTGACCGTGCCATTCGCCCGTATCTACGCGTCTCACACGCGTGCCGCCACTTACTCATAGCCGCCTTAGGCTTCACACCCAAATCCATGGACATTGGGGAGACACGGCGCCCACCTCCCTTTAATTCTGCGACTGGTGGATGTGGCTAAAGCCGTGTGGAATAACCACTTCACATATGAAGGCACCCGGTGAGACCAGCATTTGATCAAAGTGGCTATTTATCCCTGTGCAGCACCTCCAGCCGCGATGGTATGATCATAAACTAGCTACGTGCAGAGGCAGCAGTCTAACGGCAAGGAGACAAATGCATACAGCTCATTTTGCGATTGTAAACACTTAGCTCGACCGTCACGCCAGATGATGTCAGCCATGTGCTTCACGGCAAGATGAAGCAGGCACGGCGAATTGCGCGTAAATTAGTTTATAGTGAATGCGGACTTGTGCAGCATCTACCGCACCCTCTCCTCCCTCTCCTGGACCCGGTGTCAAGACAGGGTCAGGAAGACCGGAGGCGGGGGAGGGCGCAGGTGAATAGCATGGTCGAGCCCGCACCTTGGCGTTCCACTCCACGCTCCCTTATTTACACACTACATGGCCAGATGTGCTGGACCAACACAAGAGCGAAGTCGAAATCTAGCAGGAACGTGCAGCCACAACAAATGCCCAGGCCCAGTTGCCAGCTTACTCTGCGCCACTTCGGATTCGTGCCGACCCATTTTTACTGTGGTATAAAGTCCTTATCAGTGTACATTGCGGAGTGTAGTTTCTGCAGACGGCCTGAAAGAAGCTCGGCCAAAAGCTAGCATCCTGACGTGACTGACATATCTTGGGATTATGGTCCATCGAAATTCGTACTACAGTCCTACTTAAGTAATCTGTTCGAGTCGAAAATACATTCTAGACTTTTGGTAAACATTTCATGAGATAGCACATCTACAGTATGCTGCCCGGCAGTTTAAAGGCTGCTGCCATGTCGAAATCGACTGAACTGAAGATGGCCCACCACTTAAATGGACACCTCGCGGGTAGAAGTTCAGGAGTCGCCCGGCATACTTGAAGTTGCAATACATGCATAGGTCGCGGGACGTTCCGGAGGGAAAATCTGGGAGTGGTGCTTTGAACTGCCTGCCCCACCTCCTCCTTGTCCTG